AGTTAATTTTCACCCCTGGTGACTAATAAAGACATCAATAAGATAATTAATAGAAGGTAATTTATGAAAAATAGCACATTCCTTTTTCTTCAACCTAATCTATCAAATTGTGAACAAGACTGACATTTCTTTTACTTTTTTCAGCGTTTGTTAAACTACATTACATAGAAAGCATTTCTTACCTTTTCTCCCTTTGATCCTTGTGGGCCCATAGAACCAGGTCTACCTACAAGTCCCTGCAGGAAAAAAACAAAAAAAAAAAAACATGACATCTGATTTGAGCACAAATTATATATATATATATAAAAAAAATATATTTTCCCTTATGCATAGCTGAGTGATTGCTGTAGAGATGCTTAATCTGTCCAGGCTTTAAACTCTTTTACAGACTTTCCATAATTTTTAACTGTATTTACTTATTTATTTTTTCAAACATCTTACTGCCTTTTTATGGGGCAACAAAGCACTTCAAAATTTCAAAGGTCCAAAAATCATGGTCTTGGACTTGAAACATTGTTATCTGGATACTAAAGTAATATAAACCATCTTGTGGTTTATGTTGGGGTATTGAGAAAAGAAAATCTTGTATAACATCAAATCATTCAATTCCATTAAAGTATGTGTGCTAATTTTAAAGTGATCTAAGTTGAATAGTGTGCGTGTATTAGGATCAATGATGTGGAGTTTACTGTGTTCTTGTAGGTGTATATTACTTTCGGTATGGCGTTGCTCACTATTTTTTATTTTTTTTATGTAAGAATTAACTGAAAGACTGTGGGGGGAAATTCAATGCTCCATTTGAGCCTCAAGTGATCAGACAATTATCAGTAAAATTGATCCTAAAGTAAGTCACCCTGCCAGTTCTACTTTGTCTCTCAGTCGTCTGTAAGTCTGCATAAGGTGCCGACAGAGCTTTTGCTTAACTGTGTATGAAACTAAGTAATGTTATCATTGTGTCACTGCTGTCATGATACAGTGCTGTCGTGACACAAAAATTATGCACGCTTCAGTGTCAAATGAACTGTGATGCCGGAGTGTTATTTACCTAAGAAAACTATTTTTCTATGCAACGCCTGCAAGTTAGACATGTATTGGTGTGAGGAGGACACAAAACTATTGTTCATTTTGCATTGTTATTTCAAATTTGCTGTAAATTTTGATTTACACAATCTTATTTTTGCTGCTTCCAAATCAGGAATTAGAGTCAGGAATCTGCTCATCTGAATAAGAGACACTTGGACAGTAGGCATAGCAACTGATGTTGCGGAAGAGCTGTGGGATGAAGGAGTGTCACAACTTTGGTTGTATTCTATTAACACTCAATACAAGGTGATAAAAGACAAAGTCATCTGCGGACCAATTACTCCAAACTAAACCCAATGTACCCTCAATTATCCCGATGGGATAAGTGTCTTTCTACTGAGCAGTCAATGGCAGACCAGCTTTAATGCTGTCTGGTGTTAGCTACCTTTTAGACAGCACTTTTAGCACATTTTAAGCTCATATTGCAGCAGCATCTCAAACCACTAAGGACCTGGACGGATGCTTCCCTTCTGTGTTCAGATGGGTGTGCACCTTGGAATGGTGACACCAATGAAACTCATTCTGTTCAACTGGAAATGTGTGACCTAATCAAGCTACAATATGGGAATGTGTGAGCCCTTCCTTCCTTACATGTAACACTAACCCTCATTTCGGAGAACACTTTGAGTACCTGTAACTCATTTTATCCTTAATTTCATTAAAGATGTTTAATCAATCATCATATGTTAGTGCTGTTATGAGATCACTATGAACTGCATTTCTTTTTAACTTTTTTTGTTGTCATTGCTGAATCTCATGCCCCTTTTGTGATGGTATTTGTTTTCATTTATTATGAAAATGCCAAAGTAAAAAAAATAAATAAATAAATAAATAAATAAATAAATAAAATAAGACTTACCGGGGCTCCTGTTCGACCTGTTACGCCTGGAAGTCCTGGAGCTCCTGGAGGGCCCTGGAGACGACAGTAAATTGATACTCAGTTTAAAAATCAAAGAATAATTGCTTCAAATAATTGGAATAACTGATTTGCAGTAGTTGGCCCATTTGCAAATACTTGAGGAGCATTAGCATTCACATCAACAAACCCTTCAGTCAGTCAGAGCCTCTGTTCCGTCTGCACATCTGCTCAGGAGCACATGTTTATAAAATGAGATATCAGCTTCAATATGAACACTAAGCAGGTGTGAGTTTCAATAATCCACCACCATGTGTGAAAAGTATAGTATCAGTTTATTTGAGTGCTTCGGTCGGTGACAGTGTTGTAGGCATCTGGACCTGCTGAGAGCTCCACAGCTGACTACACCTGGGAAAGGGGGTGAGGCTTTCTGTATGATGAATGCTATCAACCTTAGGGTCAATTTATATATTAAATCTAAATGTAAAAAAAAAATGCAAATTGAGAAAATCTTACTGTACAAAGCTTTTAAAAAAATATATATATTACTTGAGAAATCTTACACAAAATTAAATCCAGAAATGGGTGACAAGATTTCCAATAATTGAGAAGTTAATCATTATTAACATCTAACTTGGTTTTGCCTACAGTGTCTGTTACTGCTGCGTTTAAAGTGAGTAGTATTTAATGTGTCTGTATTAGTTTGTGCATTATGTTTGTTTATTGGGCATAAACAGTCTAATCTACTTATAATTTTGGTTGTTCGCTAAATATCTTTTAGTTGCTGCTGTAGGATAAAATTGCTCTCTTTTTAATAACACAGATGCACAGACACACATTACATGCCATGTTTATGATAAAGTGGGTACTTTGAGAGGAAGACACAGCACACAGAGCAGACGCTATGTTGTAGACAATTTTCAATAGCTCCCATTTAAAACTGCAGGGTCTCAAAATATTACAGTAAATAGTGTTGTGAACACCTTACTGTTTCATATCATAGTTTTCAAATTGCAATTAATGAAAAAATAAAAAAGACCTAACAAAACTAACTTAACCCTGGATGAGAAAGAAAAATATCCCTTGAACCTAAAAGTTTGATGGCAAAATTTCCCATCAAACACCTGAAACAATAAATCAGAGGGTTTTTGAAAATAAGTCACACCAAACCTTACAGTTTTTCATTTTAGCTATTCAGTCCTGCTGCATAACCCAAAGCTGCTTGACTTTAAGGTCATGAACTGATGGCTGAACTTTCTTCTTTCTTCAAGATTAGAATTCCACATCGGGAAAGACTGGTTTGGAAAATCATCATATCAAAACTGCCTCTGTTGTACATCTCTTTTTATTATTATTATTATTACAAAACTTGTATGTTCTGAAACATCGGAGAATGACAAAGAAGCCAGAAGAAAATAGTGGGGGGTTTTTCACAGCACTGCTGTTGTCTGAAAATCTCAATACCACTGTCCAGTCCAAACAGCCTGATGACAAGTGGTTTAATTTGCTGGATTAAACATCGTCCTTGCTTACCTCATCACCCTTGTCTCCGGAGGGGCCTGGGAAGCCTCTCTCTCCCTTTACGCCCTGCAGGGTGAGCAGAACCAGTGAGGTAAAGAGAAGTGAATGTTTTTCACAAATCACAAAAAGAAAAAAAAGCCTCAAACTAAAGGCTGACAGGGGTAAACTTCAAAATGTCTCTTCCAGCTCACAACTTGAAATTGCTTAGCCTGTTACATTGGTGCAAGGATGTATCCATAGCAACAATTTCTGCAGAGAGCACCAAGTGATCCTAATAACATTAGCAATAGAAAAACTCTGTAGGTTGCCAGCAATGACAACCACACGTGCAAAACGTAAATATTTGACTTTAAATCACCACAATTAATTAAACATTTTTCTTCCACGGATTAAAAGCTGCATAATTAAAGGAAATTCTAACAGACTGCATTAGTTTTTAAAACCCCGATGTCACCTTTGGGCCTTCTTTTCCTGGATTACCCATCGGACCTCTTACACCTGGATCCCCCTGTTCAGAACACACATACTGAATGTTACTATAGGCACACCGCTCCGGTTTATGTTACTGTCAGCATAAGTATAATCTCCTTGCTGATTTTAGTGTAATGTGACATTACTTTGACACTTTAGGATATATATTTTTAAGCTTCTCATTTCACAGTCTGTTAAGTGTTTGGCACATGTATGTGTCTGCTATGCTTTACCCCAGTTTTCCAATATAAAACCGCCCCAGTTCTGAAAATGTGTGTATATAAATGCTTCGGTTGCTCCACCTCAACAACTGAATCTACTTGTCAACAACTTCTTTTCCAGCTTCGGCAGTCTGCACAACTTCCAAGAATTTCATTTGAAGGACCTCCGATTCTAAATGTTTTATGAGGATGCAACAGATTTTTGCCTCTGAAGAAAGTTTCTTGAAGATGGTAGGAATGTTTGGCTGTGAATCAGCAGTACGTTGATGGGTCACTGCTGCAAAATCCTAGAATTCTGTTGCTCATATTCGGGCTTCTATCAGCCTATTTTATGGCAGACATTTGGGGCATATGCATCCGTTTCAATCGGTCTCTAAATTCATCCATGTTGGATATTTTGTAAAATGCAGGTAAAAACAGAAATGCATTTCCCATTTGTTAAGTTTTTGTTCTCGTTTCTCTTTTTCATAAAAATATCTTCTGTGAAATAGGCCCATTCTGATAAAACTTTAACATTAATAAGCGAGCTCTGTCCTTTGTGTAGATTTTTCTGTTCATGAGTTATTTTCTTATTATTCAATTATTTTGTTGTATCAAACTCTTTTTTTAATGGCACCAGAGCCAAGATATGTTTGGAAAAAATACATTTGTTTGTTGTGCCAATTTGAAGTAAGCTTCAAAAATATCTCAAAGCAATTTCCTTTGTTTATATTTTGCGAGGTTATGGTAATTTTAAAACTGCTCTGAAAGAAACATGTAACTGATTCAATTAGCATGTTATAACTAGTAAGATGACTTTGATCTTATTTAATAAAGTCTTGTTTCTTTTTCCCATTTTTTGTCAAATGTTTTTATATTTTTAAAATCGTATTAACTTCTGTAGTTTTTATTTGGACTTCTTATACTTTCTTTGGTTTTATTTGAAACTGCTTCAATTTCAAGAAACTACTTCTCAACAGTTGGTGTGAATGAAAGATTATAGCAGAGACACAAGGAGCAGAATTTACATTAACTTTAAGCAATTAAAAACTCAGATATTTTTTTTCATTTTAAAAACAGTAAGCATACACCTAGTGCATATATCTTTTTAAATAATCCTTTTACAAAACCTTCTTATTATGCCTAATATTAAGAAGGTTTTGGACTTGCAGATATGTCATCTTGTTTTTGGTTTATATCATCTTGAGCCATATTTGGACAGTAAACTGTTGCAATGCGGTCGTGTCTAAAATATTTAAATGTCACTCTATATCAAAACTCCAAAGGCTGAATTACATATGCAAAATAAATGAACAATGTCCAGAACTGGATGTACCTTTTCTCCCACCAAGCCTTCCACTCCTTGCACTCCAGGGGAACCCTTCTCTCCCTTCTGCCCAGGCAGACCAGGAACTCTTGTCTGGCAAAGACTGCAGGCGTTCTGCCAAAGCAGGCGAGGCGAGAAGCAAAACCAGCGGCACAGAAAAGATTTCATCAAGCAGAGCTGGCACACTGCATTTTTACCTCATATTATGTGACATCAGCCCAGATAGGACTAAGGACCTTGACTGACACGAAATGTTCCCAGAATGTCTCCTGAGCAGAATTAATGGGAACCAAGTAGTGCCTTCAAGAGTCTCATTCCATGCCACAGTCATGGAGTGAGACTTTTAGGTTCGTGTAATTCCAGGAAACGGGTGCAAAGTTGGGCCGAATTAGTGAACAGGAAAAAAAAAAGTTAAAAATACAAAAACTAAATGTATTTACTACAGCAGTTTGTCAAAAAGTATTATTATGTTTCACCAAGTAACATTAAATAAGTACATAAGCAATAAATTAATTTAACTGGACAAAAGGCATAACATCAGTTTTGCTCTGAAGGAAGAAATAATAATAACTAAAAAAAAAAGAAAAAAAAATCAAAACATCAATCTGTTTGAAAAATAAACAAATATAAAAGCTGTAAGTATTGTGATCTATGCAGAGGAAATACCTTAAGTAATGCACCCATGTCTCCAACGAGAGGCAGGGCAGTCTGTCAGAGAAAGAAGAGAGGGTTTTGTCTTTCAGGGCAAATCTTTCATGGTATTTAATAATACGCTGCAGCTGTTTGGTTCAGCTACATCTTGTAAATTGAACACACTCACACACGCACGCACGCATGCACACACGCACACACACGCACACACGCACACACACACACACACACCTACACAAAAACATTACCAGATCCACAAGGTCATCATTTATTCCAAGATGAGTTTTTACACACACACGTTTATCAAACTGTTTCGTTCCAGTTTTTCTTTGCAGCACTTGAGGAAAACCTTAAATCATAACGCTTCAAGATTCTAACATACTAAACACATTATCAGTGTCAAAAACCTAAAATCATTATAAAGCCAAAAATGAATGAGAAAGGTGTTATGAATCTTTAGCTGGCAGGAGATCTAGCATATTGAAATACTGTAATTACATAAAGGCTGCAGTTCCTACAGGGTAAAGGTGTGATGTATATTCATGCCACAAAGTTTTTCATATAGTCTTTTCGGTATGGCCCATGTATGCAGAAAAACATTAGTGTTGCTTTAAACCTGCGCACATGCGCAACGTCTACGCACAAAACTAAAGTTCCACCACGTAACCTTCAAAATGCAGCACATGATGCGACATGCCCAGAAATCCATCTGCTGGTCAAAGACTATATAAAAGTCTTATATAATATGCTGAGTAATATTCTGCCACGGAGCTGCCAAGGAAATGGCTGCCAAGTAAAAGATAGTAAAGGCAGCATCATTACAATCCATCTTCAATAAATTGATGGTAAGCATTATTTTTAAGAATGTTGGCTGTTTTAGAACAGAGCAGATGGTGCCCACTTGTCAGCGTAACCCTGACAGGGATTTAGATGTACAGTAACGATCTGCTTGATCAAGTCAGCATTGACATTAATAATTACTGATGACGTTAATTAACCAGCAGATTAGAGTCATACATGTAAGTGTTGGTCGATTTTATCCACGTTTCTTGCTGAAAAATGAAACAATGTTGTTTTATTTATACCTCAACAAAACGCGTAGGCTCTTATTTGACTAACTGTGTCACTGCTGCAGGTGTAATGTTCAGATGTTTGGAGCTGTGACATTGGGAAAACCATTATTTATATACAGATATATGGAGCATATGCGGCTTGCAGTGCACAACGCAAGGTTTCAGTGTTTTTTTTCTTGGAGTCAGTGATGTAGGTTCACTGTTTCTGCAAACGAATGTGACAGAGTATTTCTCTAAGCTGGAACAGCACGCTTTGCATCTCCATCTTCCTCCTGGTTTTTGAGTGTGAATTGTTCAGCGAGTTTCTGGTGTCGTGTCACAGATTAAAGTTGCAGATTCTCCAGGTGGTGCGCCGCACACTATCTCCATTTACAGGTTGTGCACTCTCTCAGGGAGGGTAATAGGTTTTTACTGATCTGCTATTTTTTTTTTTTTTTTTTTTTTTTTTTTTTTTTTTTTTACAACATGCAGTTTTTAATGCAGGAATATATATATATTTTTTTACTCAGTAACTGGCTTGAAATTCAACCGAGTACAATCCCAAATGTACTCAAAAGTAAAAGTAGATATTTTATATTATAGCTGTTACTCAAATACAACACAAGTAAATGTAATTCCTTGTTTTCAAACCCTGAAAATGGAATCTAAAATATTCAAATAACTTGCTGTGACATAGAAACCATTGTTTTTCATTCATTGCAGTGTTTAACCAAGGTACGGGGCTGTGTATTTGCTGCTGTAAAGCCATAAGAAATTCTACAGAAGTTGTTTTATATATGCAACCATGCTGTTTTACCTAAAACAGGGGTCTCAACCTGCAGTCCTCAACGGCCAGACTTCTGCAACTTTTAGATGAGTCCCTCGTCTTACACACTTGAATTAAATGATAAAAATGCCTCGCTAGTCACTACAGAGCTCTGCTAATGTGCTAATATTGGAGGTGGATGTGCTGAACCACAGAAATGTCTAAAGGTTGCAGAACACCGGCCCCTGAGGGCTGGAGTTTGAGACCACTGACCTGAAGCCTTGGTTTTGAACACATGCTAAAAGTGATATATCTGCACCTCTCACTGCTGCTCAGTGATCCTGAATTGGACAAAAGTGATATTCTTACTTACTGGTTCACCTGGAGGTCCAGCAGGGCCCGGTGGACCCGGTCTACCACGGGAGCCCTTTAATTGAGAGAAAGAATAGAGTTAACAGTCCTACTGGGAGCAATATCATGCAGACGTGAAGGTCTATAACTTTTCACAGTCATCTCAGTTGGTGGTGATTTGTGGCCGGCAGCAGCGATACGACGCATTTGGACATCCACAGCAGGAAGCTGACAATCTTTTATGCAGCCGGTCATCTTTCATCTGCATACATGTGGGACTGAATGAGAATAAAGCGATAGACTGTACCCACTAACCTCTCTTCCTGGAGCTCCAGGAGGGCCGGAAAAACCCGGTGGTCCACGGAGACCCTATAGAAGACCTATAGTTAGTTTATAGATTTATATTAGCAGAATTTGTTCATTTCTATTTGTAGCACAAAAGATTCTGCTGGAATTGTCCCCATCCTGATTTAAGCGAAACCTCGGTGAAAAAACATGGGCATGCTGTTTCTGTGTTGCGAAAGTGAGAATTTGCTACAGACCTCAGCTCCTGGCTTCCCTGGGGGTCCCGCGGGGCCCTACAAACACATCACACATCTTGTTAACACCATCCGCCCTCTAGCACCCGGATCCAGTACAGTAATTGTGTTAGGCACCTTTTGCTCTATTGATTCTTTGTCTCCAACTATCCTGTGTTTCAAAACTGAACACACACTCATTCACAGTCAAATTTGCAAAGTTAAAAGAACGTATGGATGGATAGCTGCACTTTGTAATGAATCACAAACGAACGTGATGCGCCGGCCCCTTGAAATAATACCCAGTGTTTTCACCTAAAGATGTATTTAATGACCACTTATCTTGAGACTCTTCAGTTTCTATGACAAGTTATCACGGTGTGAGCTAAATAATAAATGAAGGAGTGATAGGTGAATCAATACAACATCATACTCACAACGATACTCTCTCCAGGTTCTCCCTTTTCGCCGTGGTCTCCAGGCACACCAGGCACACCTCTTTCACCCTGACACAAACAAAAGGTGTGATGAATTCGGAAGACGGGAGAGCTCCTGTGCTGCATAATAATTAACTATTAAACTCAGTGTGCCTTATCGCTTGTATCTGAAGAAAGACGGTGTACATCTCTATTACCCATTACATTCAAACTCAGAATTCAGAATTTTGTCTATGTAAATGACAACGCTAGTAATAACTGGGAATCACCAGAAGGGAAAACCTTCACCGACACATAACATTAACCATACACAGAATGTGAGAATACATTGGGGTTGTTCTGAGTATAACTTATACATATGATTAATGCATCCTATCTTCAGAAACAAAGATCATTTTTGGATGAAAGAAATGAGAGAAAATTCTACTATCTGCTATCTATTAAAGCATTGAGATTGTCATGTCCAGGACTAAGAAATTACAGCATCATACTGTATTGGACTAATTAGTTTTTTTTTTTTTTTTTTTCATTTATTCTGAATTAAAACAACCTCACTTCATAATACCTGCTTGGTGTTAGCAGATTAATGGAGCTAAATACCGTACAACTCTGAAAAAAAACAAAACAAAACTGTTTAGTGTCTGTAAAAAGCCTGACACTGGGGTTGAGGTTCATTTTTAGCGGAGCAGCAACCCTGAACATACAAGAGCATCCCAAGGGAGCAATTAAATGGTTTAGATTAAAGCACTTTTATATGTCAGAATGACCTAGTCAAAGTCCCGGCCTCAATTTAATTGAGTATCTTTGCCAAAACTTCAAAACATCTTGTCTCAGAGAGCAACAATCTAATTTGCTTGACTTAATCTATTTGGCAAGAGTTGGATAAAATTTCTCGAGATGTTTAAAGCTGTCAGAGGAAATCCTACGACAACCTTCAACTGAATTGAAGGTTGGTTGTAAAAACATTAGCTGATTTCTTTTGTCTTTTAAGAAGATGTCTATGGTAACTATGTTCATATCCAAAATGCTCTGTAAGACTATGCAAGTCTAACAATCTAGAATTAAATTGTTTTCTAAATGATCAATCAGCTTTTAATTTGTTAAGCTTTATTTTTCATGGAGTGAAAAATTTAGCATATTGTGGCTTCCTCTCTTTTTGTTACACGTTATTTCAGCAACCTCATATATTTTTCTTTAACTTGAAGTAGATATTACTTGTCAACACCAAAATACACCCATCAACATTGAAAAAGGCAATACATGGACTAGTTTCAACAGAGATTTAGACCAAATCCCTATGTGCCTTTTGACCAGCCAACCAGCGGGATTCTACTTCCATTTCTTGGTTTTAACTTATTAGGCCAAGCTCCACAGCTCAAGTCTATGTTGTTAAAGGCTTACTCATCTATACGCGCCCTCAGGTCATCTAACAAGAGATTATTGGTAGCTTTCTAGCCCGAGGTTAAAACCAAGAGAGGGGGGTTGTTCTTTTTAAGCTGTCACATCTTGACTGTGAAATGAGCTTCTCTTTGTTTTACATTGCATTGACTGGGCTGGTTGCTTTAAAATGCAACTAAAACATTGTTTTTAATTATGCAGTCAATCAACCAATCAGTCAATGAGTTATTCATTTCAACCATTTCCCCCCTCCCCAAGGTATGTAGAATACAAAAAGATAATGTACATGTCAATATCAAACTGCACTGTATACAAATCTGTAATATAAGCAGTTGTCCAAACAATTAATTCAGTTCAAATTTAAATATTTTTTGTTATTCTGCTCAATTAGTTTCACATATCACCTAGTCATGTCTGACCATAGTTCTAATGTTGCCGAATTTGATTCGTAAGTAATGAAGTCTAAGTGTTTGAGCTTTTCTCTCATTTATTGACCAAATATTGAAGAAAGAATTAACATGCTTCCCTGCTGAGATCACAACTGGTAACTTATTAGCATTACCACCATAATCATCATGATCATCCCTCAGTTACTATTCAAATGATTAATATTGGAAAATAATAAGAAATCAAAAATATTTGTAAGAACAGGATTTTTTTGTACATTAACAAATTCCAATTCTTAAGATCCAAGTTAAAGGTCAGAAAGTTCTTATTCATATTTGCCTTGAGGCATATACCTGTAGCTTGCTCATAAAAAAAAAAAAAAAAAAAAAAAAAAAAAAAAATGTTCTCTTTGGCTCTTACCTTCGGCCCACGAGACCCTCTACTCAGAGACAGCCCATCACTCTGAGAAAACAACAGGAAGAGCGCGTCAGACCTGGACCTCTGTCTGCAAATCTTGTTGTCAACTGAGCAGCCGCTCTCCTCTCTTAGTATAAATTATAGCGCTTTAATTAAAACTGGATTCTTGAACTTGTACAACCTCTACAAACAACAGCGACCTGAACGCGGGAATGCATCATGAGTTCATGTTCGGTGCTGTTTTATTACTTCCAATGTGAAGAGGCACAGCGATAATGCTACAACGCGGAGAACAAAACGTTGATTGGAACCGAGGCTAGTGTAAGCATTATTTACTGTGCCATCCAGACGAGACATTGATTTCTTTGGTCAGCATGTATTAGTGTTACAAGCCCTACATTGCACAATGCAAATTAGTTCTGCCGAAGTTGGATTTGGACTAACACAGCAATTCTACAGTATTGAAAAGAGTGGGGTGTGGTGTACACTTAAACTTGAAACAAGAAAGTTGGGGAAGTAAAGCATTTTTCTGAGAGAAAGTACAGTTTAATGGTTGCTTTTCTTTAAAAAAGAAAACTTCTAATAAATTTAATGCATCTGCACTTTAGTGAAACAAATAAAACATTTGTCATTGTTTGAGACAACAGAGTGATTGCTAATTTGAGATAACAATAGCACAAAAAGCAAACAACAAGAAGTTAATTGTTACTTATTTGAAGGCAAAACCAATTAAGCTACTTAAAGTACACATTAAAAGGCCTAAATTCTTATTTTATTTTATTTTATTCATTTTTTTGGCCCTGAAATGTTATAAATGTGCTTCTCATAGAAATGACCTCTGTAAAACAGAGTCTGCTATAAATGAAAGCTATTTCTCTTTACAATGAGGGTCAATAAATCACCATAAAACACAAATCTTTCAAAGAATGCCTGTAGAAAATATAGAAAGCTGGAGCATTTTTTCAAGAGGTTTTTATATTTCTGCCGTCTGCCTGTTATTGCACAGCTTACAGTGGGGCTTATTGCTGAGACTCACATTTCTACAGACAAACAAACATGATTGTTTAAAGAGCATTGCCCGTGATTAAGGAGCGCGAGTGCTATTGAGCACGACTCCGGCACTTCTGTGTGTGTGTGTGTGAAGTTGTTTCCATAAAGGAAAGTGCTCAAACAGCTATTAGCCCCAAAATGGAAGGATAGGTGATTACACGGGTTGGAAACATCCAGAAATGGATTGCTTAATGGCCTTGCATCTCTCTAATATCACGGAGTGGTAAACTGTCCAACAGGAATGCTGGGGCAGCAAGTGCTGCAGTACAAGGATTTCTACCCCAGTCCAACCCTCTGTCCCCGTATATCCGGCAATAAAGAGATTCTGATATCAAACTGGATTCAGTTTGATATCAGACAATTTAAAGTCGTCGTTAAGGAATCAGAAGGTTTGATTCCTTAACAAATCAAACCTTGTCAGCGATATCAGAATGTAAAATTAAATGATTAGGTAACTCATATACGTAGTAATTATATTTAAAAATGGTTTAATGTAGACATTTCCACTGTTTAACAACTGAACTAAATCAATGTATATTGGCCTAAATTGTATGTGTATTGCATGACACCCACCATATATGCACCGCCAGGTTCTCCAGGCTCCCCCTTAGGACCAGGAGGCCCCTGTGGACCAATCACTGCCCCAGAGTCTCCCTGTGGGCAGGAAACCAGATGCTAGTTAATAAACAAAGTGGCAAACGGGTTGTCATCTACTCAGTTAAATGGAAACTACAACACACACATAACTGACCTGCATATGCAGGCTTAAACAGACGTTAAAATCTTTTTCTACACAAAGTTTCACATGACCATTTAAAAAAAAAAAAAAACAAAACAAAAAAAAAAACTGTCATCTGCTTTAAATTGTTTGAGTAATAAAAACAGATCTCGATTCAGAATGAGTTCCCAATGTCCCTAATGTCTGAGTTCTCAACTGACTTTCTTTGTAATATATATAAAAAAAATATTTGATTGAAGACAAATGTCAAATTAATATAAATCCAGTGTTTTACAACTTTAAGCAAACCTCAAATGTAAAAAAAAAAAAAAAAAAAAA